TGTCTGTTTCTTATTTCTTACTGTTTTTTTATTTTTTTATGTTTATGTATTGTACGGTGTTCCTCGAGTGCCCAGAGAGTCACCTTTAAATAAAATGTATTATTATTATTATTATCTGCCGCAGTTCATCACACACACAGCTCCAGACACAGAGAGTAATATAAAGGGTGTGGCAGTTAGCTGAAAGTAAAGGTCAATAACCTGCTTCAGTTACAGGCATTTAATGGGCATGCTTCCCAGAAACATTAGAGGATCACCTTTAGCCCAAATTAGCAGGTTTAGTGGTCTAGACTCACACACATTCAAGTTTGCTGTTACTCTTCGAACAAAGTGCTTTTTTTAGCCCCCTGCAGGTGTCAGGTGTTCAGGGTTCATCACGCAGAACAGCACGAGTGACAGGAACTTAAGACCAACACAGGAAAGTGTTTGAAAGTCAGTTTTGTTTTTTTATGATTCCTCAGAGATGGATTTCTGAGATAACACTATCTGAACTGTCTGTTGCTGTAATCCTCAGCCATCTGGTACTCCGTGCAGCCTTTAACAATGCCGCTGAGAATTACTTGCAAAGTATTTCACTCAGGTCCGCCTGCAACTAAAAACGGGCACACACTAGACTTGTTTGTGCATTTGTGTTTTACACTCAGAATGAATGTTGCATTGTCTGCGGCTGAGGAAGATAATTCGAGATAAGGCACAATGTGATGTGATATTTTAAATAATGAATGCTGTTTGAGAACTCTGTTTACAGCCTGTAGGAACTAAAGGAACATTCTTACAAGAGCAGATTGAAAATTAGGAAAGAGAGCAGATTGAAAATTAGGAAAGAGAGCAGACACAAACTTCTACTCTCTTCAACATACTGGAATAATAATATTTCTGTGCCATTTACATCTTGGCTTTAGCCATACAGAGTGTGGGAGGGATTAAATGTCAGAAATTGAAAGCTTATTGCAGATATAAATTGGTGTTTTAGGAACTATGTGACCATTACAAAGTTTGTCCACCAGAAAGTTGATTTTTTTTTAACTGGAAAATGTCTAATTCAGTTCATAATAATTCATGTTTGTCAAAAATGGTGCAAAGAAATATGATATATGCCATTATTTGACCTTTTAAAATTTCTAATATTTCATATCAAACAGTATCAGTCAGGCTGCATTACTAAGAAAGTCTGGCATTGACAAAGCATCTTATCCATTAGTGCAGATATAATATGGGAATTTCGAGTCTTCAACAGTGGTTTCCAATACTGTAGGCGCCAGCTAGTATTGTTTTAGGGTTTGTTGCCATGGTCACATACGGGGATGTGGGTCACGTGGTGGTGCATCAGCCAGGTAGTAAAATCAGCTGTTCACCTGGTGAATGAATGAACTGAGAGGGTGAGAGGGGAAGTCGTACTT